CGATGCTAACCGCCGAGGCCACCCTCTTCTTTTCTAGGCTTCCGAAGGCGACGGCCCCCCTCAGACGCTTCTCGGCGCCTCGCAGAGTGCAACCTTATTGGCATTGGCATCTCCACCTTTGTGGGCTTTAGCACAGGCCACAGTTAGCCTGTCCGAGGCCACGCCTAAGGCTAGAACACCCATCTTCTTTCCGCAGACGGGCAACCACCGGAACGACACTAACGCCTTCAGTTACACATGCTACACTCCTCTTGAAAAGGGGTCGGCGGCACCCGGGCGAAGCCCTTACAATAACTCAACCCTGGAAGAAACTCCTGGAGCGCCGGAGCGCTATCTCGACAAGAAGCATGATCTCCACTGATGCTTTCCACCAAGTCCCCCACTCTCTCAGGTGCACCATCCCGTAGTTTCAGTCCGGTGATGACCACATTCTGCCCCGTCTTGAAGAAGTGTTGCGTCGCTGTGCGGATCACTGGAGGGCTCTCCCAAATGAATGCCTGAAGCCTCACTTCCGTGGACGGCACGCTGAAGCTCCGGCGAATCTCATCACGCTCATGGATTTTCAGCCGGCCTCAGTGGTGTGAGCCACTGATATTTTGTGGTATTTCCATGCATCAAAAACAACAGATGTTGTGCTGTCAAGATTCTGATTCACATGAATCCGAAAGGAGGCTCTCTATTGAACCGAAGGTCTTCTGATTCGGGTAGATTCGGAGGCACGGAGTCTATAAAACGATTCCCAAGGTCCCCAGGTTGCTGACTCCCATGTGAATGACCACTTCCCGGACATCCAAGAAGGTGATTCATTGTAATTGATCGTGAGTGACACAGCCGCCACATTTCGTTTCTTCCCCAACTAAATATTTCCAACTCCCTCCAACCACTGGGTTGCTCTGCCCGGGTGCCAGATCGTAAGTCTCCCTGGGCCGTAATCAGCTGACTGATGGCCCGGGTGGCCTGGTCAAACTCTTTCTTACCTCGGTAAGAGACCATGAAGAGTGGGGTGGGGTGGGTGCTCTGAAGAGTGAAAACTCACTCTGGTCATAGCATGATAGAGGAGAATGTAGCGTCCGAAGGTGGTTTCAATTGCAGGTTTGAAGAAGTTTGGGGCAGTGAAGAGAGTGGGATGCACTGAGTTCTACGTCATCTGTCAGCCCAGTGGCATTTCTGCTGCTCCCGCCTCTTGGCGTCTTCAAGTGGCTCTCGACTCTGAGGGCCATCAACTAAGGTCCAACTATCAAGCCTTGGCTAAAAGCGCAGCTGAGAATGGCGATGGTGCAGCGCACTGAGAATGGCACCTCGAAATGCAGAGGTGACCCACCAAATGGACTCGCCAGCTAATACAAATGCCCGGCTCCCGAACATCTGATGCTTTGACGAGAAGCTCGTCCATGGTCCATCCCCGGAAACAGGACAACGCCTTAAAACCCGAAAGGACACCACGACTGTTTCGAGCCAAATCATGCAGCAAATGGTCGGCTTCCAGAAACTGGGCGATTCTTGCAAAAGCCGGAAGTCTGCTGGCTATGGCTCAAATAACAAGATAAGACCCCGGAAAACCACAAGTGTTAGACGATGTTCCCTTTCGCCATCATTTCTCAGTGAGTTTGGATGGTAGCTTTTGAGCCGTATGGGCCATAGCCTAATCACCAGTTTCGTTCATGAAGTCAGGGTCCGGTTTGTTCGTACCAGAAACAAAGGACTTGAATGAAGGAAAGTTTGGAAGGGGCATGACTCCTTGAGGGTGACCAAAAAATAACGATGGTCGAAACATGTAAATCTGAGGCTTGAAAGTTCTTGCATAGGATAGGACGAATGGGCTCAAAAGGGAGCTTGTGGGCGAGACTGAAATTGGACGTGCGAGGCCTGATTGCAAAGCTCAAGCATGTGCTGATACTGCCCCGAGCTCCAAGTAAGGCCAAACAATCAAGTCAAAAGCATCCGAACCAGTCGGGCTGACTTGATCTTCCGGAATTCCTCGCAGTCTGCGAGAACGACGTTCATGTACTTGTCAAAGGCCTTCAATGGTTTGGCTTCACTGCAGTTGATGCAGGTCTTTGGCAGTGTAGTATGGTTTGCCGGTTTGACGCATCGCAAGCACCCATCAAACAACCAAAGACCACTGCAAAAGTGAAGTTGCCTGAAGGCTTGAAGTCCCTTCTTTCGACATGCCCACAGTATCCATAGTTGATGGGCTTGGTCACCCATGGGTTTTGCTTGGCGACTACGAGTACGAGTAGTGACAATCTCAAAGGCCCCAACGTCACATTGTGCTGGGTCTTTCCTTGGCACCCCTGCCATGAAGGTGCCCACCAGCATGCGTGCATCCGAGATGGTCACTCGGACCCTGGCATATTGCTTTCGTGGCGGCTTGCAAAGGGAGGTCCTACGCTCTCCAGCTACCCCACTAGTGCAGGCAAAGCTCTACAGCTCTGTCAATGGATCCCCGACGAAAATGAACCAGGTTCACAGATGTTCACAGACTTTTTCAATAATTTAGCTCCAAGTTGTTCTAGCTATTCCATGTTGTTCCCAAAAACATGCATCTGATAGTCAGATACCAATCTGATACTTGTAATTTGACATATCAACTTTTGGTGTGTCTGAACCAGAGACTCCCAGCATCTAAAGCGGATGAGTTCAGGTGGCCGACTCCGACGGACTCCGAGGTCAATCCTCCACGCGTTCCCGACCAAAAAAACCTTGGCAGACGAGCCCTTCCACAAGAAGGGTGCGGTAGCCAGCTAGTCTGCTCTTGAAAGTCACCTGGGTGTGTCTCAACGTCGAGATTCCCCAAAAAAGCAAACCCATCAACTCTCACAGAAAAAGTCGTCAATGCCAACGACCTGTAGTCCAGCCACTGTGCCATGCGAGTGTTGCGGCCTTGCCAGCAGGTCAGAGCGACTAGATCGGAAACGCCCTTGGGTCTTTGAACTCTGCGAGACGGGCTCATGAACTAAAATTAGCATGTTGGAAAGGCATCTTCGTCTACTGGTAGTCCATTCAACCATGCTTCAGTAGCCATTCGAATGCACCACACAAATCCAAAGTCTTGTAGGTGTTTTTCTATTGGCGCCAATCACTGGAGATGTTTGGTCAATCGTCTTGCGATTCGCTCGCAGCGGCAACTGGCGGCAACAGGCTTCGTGTGCTGCTTTTGGTCGATTGAAATCCAATGTCCATTGTCCGTGCAGTCCGGTCAAGTTCGACACGTCCAATCTTCCTTAGATTGATAGCCATTCAAGTGAGAAGTCACGTGATCTACTCCAAATAGCCTCAGTTTGATCAGCATTATGGTGGCGAACCTCTAGGTCTTTTTGGTGACCAGCTACGAGCTATGTAGAACTTCGTTCAGAAGTCTTCGTTTTCCGCTTCTGGGTTGATACGAGCCGACGAAACATGACAACACAGAGCGTTGAGAAGTAGCTTGGACTCCATAGGTGAATGGCCTTGCCTGACATGGCTGCAAAATGGGCGCGGTTCGCTGATTGCTGCGATCGCCCCCGTTTGGGTCCTCTTTCTGTGCGCCCAAACAGCCCTTGAGCAAATGACCAGAAGTTGAGCGCACAAGCTAAAACCAACTGTTGTTCTTTTTGGGGGGGTAGGCCACTAGTAGCTAGGTAGCTAGTAGGAGCTAGGTAGCTAGTACCTACAAGTAGCTACTACTGACTGGACGCAGGATAGCTCACGGTTCTTCAAGGAGCGCTTGCACTAATCCTAGATTTTTTTTGAAAATTACTGTAACATTATAATCACTAGAAGCTACATATGAAGCACTCCTTGTGAAGAAAGGATGCGCACAGGCGATCGACCTTGTACTTTCATGCTGAAAATCTCCTGCTCCGACCTCATCGTTTGCAACGAGGTGGCTAAGCAGCAACTTGCCAGCTTTCAGCAAGTCGTGCCAAATCACCCCCGAATCGCTTGTTGTTCAAGCCATTCAGTTGAGATTCTGGACAGTGGGTCCAGTGGGTCTTGTGGATCCAATGGGTCATGTTCTCATGTCAGTTCTCATGTTCTCTTGGGTGAGCGTTGGAAAGCTTCCCAGCTGCTCTGTCTTGTGGGCTGTTGATGAAAATCGCTCATGTGAAATGACCAGCCCTCCTGTCCCATGTTCAAGCACTTTAGGACCAGCACAAAAATGGTCCTGCTGAGAACTTGCGATGTCGCTCTTACTTGGAACATATTCAATTAGATGCTTGGCATTGCCGACCAACATCTCTGATATGAAACTTGACATTCCTCTATCCTTCATCCTGTCTCCATGCTTCTGTTGCAGCAGGCCAAGACCACGCTGGCTGACAGCGCTCACTATCAAAGGTCGTCCAGTCACACCTCAGATGTGGTTGATCCTTGAACTGGTGGGTTCAATCATGAAACTTACATCTGTACAGTGGAACCATGGGATGTGGGATAGCCAACAATTGCAAAAGTTCCTCGAGGTTAATATAGGCACGCAGGTATGTGACATGCACCCGCTCACACACTCCCTTTTTCCTCGTGTTTCCACATCCAGTCTGCTGCAACAGAGTGGAAAAGCTTCCCTTCCTTGCAGAGATGCGTGAGGTTAAGCAATATGAGGCTCGCTTGCCCTTGAGGATAAAACCACAAGGGATACGAAAAAAGCACAAGAATGATTAAATCAAGTATGCATGTCTGCTGGCTCATGGGGGGTTCTTTGCACCTTGTCTGCGACTCATGCCACCCTCCCAAATGCCATCCATGAACGGTTCTGCACGCCGAGATTTCTCTGGGCGAAAGCCTTTCATGTGCAGCCAGACCTTGCGATCTCGGGGATATCGTTTGAGAGTTGCCTCTTCTGCGATGACCCGACCAAAATGGCCGGGAAGCTGCAAACTCATCCGTTTGATGACTCTTGACTGAACAGTAGGATCCTGCAAAGCCCTCTCTGCAAACCTCCCAACCCGCGAACGGATCTTTTCCCAGTCGGTCGGTTTCGTGAGCTTGCGCAAGCAAGGCATGCTGGAATCCGCTGAAGCGAGATCATTTGGTTCCTCACAACGCATGAACTTCAAGTGTGCCTCTTGCACATCCTGAAGCTGAGTGTCTGCGTCGACCAGCAAAGTCATTTCTTGCAGTTCTGGAAAGCCATGATCATGAGTACATGAGCCTCTTCCGGTGCTACCTGAGATGACAGAAGTGAAGTCTGAGTGATTGGAGAGCAGGTCCCCAGTGTGGCTCTGAGGCATCAGCCGCAGCTGTCCAGGAACTGAATCTTCTGCAGCATCTGGTTGAGGCCGACACTCGAGATCCTCTTTGAAGGCAATCAAGTGATATGGCTCACTCTCTCCAAAGAGGCCTGAAATGGGTACGTGGTAGATGTCTGCTGCAACCCTAATACCTGCTGATCCACGAAAAGAAACTCGTAGACATCCAGGAGTTGAAGAATGCTTGGATTCTGGTGCACAACATGACTCAGTGGACGACTTGATGAATTCGCTGAAGCGAGGCACTTCATCAGGAACGAGTAGACGTTCAAAGGATCGTCCCTTCAGGCTTACACTGGTGAGAATCAGATGCTTCAAACAATCGCTTTCCTGGGCAACATTCATGTGGCTATCCAAGAGGACTTCGCCATCACAAACACCCCTCAGCATCTGCCGGAAGCTGGACACCAAAGACTCTGCGTCAGCCGTGTCCAGGAGGGCATAGATTCTCCGCCGCAGCAACAAATCAAAGTACACCGAGGAGGCAATGTTGATGGCTATCATGAAGAATTGACTGATGAACAAGGATCCCAAATGCACACGTGATGGCTCGAAAACCACAAAGTAGACTGATATTTCTCCTAGTGTGTAGAGAAATTGGAAAGGAATCGAGACGCAAGGATCAAGAAATGCAACCACCAATGAGAAGCGTAGGACCCATTGAAAGCCTTGCCAAACGGCAAACTGAAAGCCACCTTCGGAGCCGGCAGAGCCTAGAATGAGGAAAAAGTGGAGAGTATGGATGACAATGGTCACGAATTTCAGCCGCTGAGGGGTCAAACGCACGATGCCCTGCCCGAGCATGATTTGCTGCACATAGGCCAGGATGCAACAGGCGGCAAAGGATATGGTGTCGAGCCCGGGTGCTACAATGGCTTGACAGACCAGGCCAATACCTACCAGGAAGGTGATATGAGAAAAGCAACGCGTGATGAACTTGTAGTTGCTCTGGCGGATCTTTATCATCTCTTCCTCCACCCGGACATCCTTCAACACATCCACCTGTTGGCGTGGTGCGGCCATAAGGGACTCGATCCATCTTCTCAGGTCTCCCAAGTCTGACGTAGTGAGGCGCAGGTGCAGCAGCCCCCAAGCGAGCACCAAGGTTGACGCTGCAACCCAACCATCCATGTCCATGTGATAGATTCTATGGTGAGAGGAACTGCCCGTTCCTGTTCACAAAAATCAAGATCGCAACATTTACAACCCTGTAAAAACCTCAAGAGCCAAAAACCGTTGATGAGCATGGTTTGCGACGGAATGGTCAAGTGAAAGCTGCAAGAATGACTGAAGCTTGCAAGTCACCTGCCACCTGAATTTCACGAAACCACTTTGAACTGTACAGATCGGCGAAGCTGAGACTGGGTCATCCACACTAGCCATCATCCAAGGCATCCAACCGCCCCACCTCGCTACGGAGAAGGGACATGCGAAGTCCTTGTGTGTTTGCAATGAAAGACGTCCATGAAAGGTGTGGATTGAAGGCTGCACACCAACAGAAATCGAATGTGGCAATCACGTCTCTGGCTTTTGGGCTTGGAATGAAAACTCTGGAGGTCGTAAACTTCTGGTGTCACGCATGACGCCAAGGGCTTCTGTCCAAGAGGCGTTCCACTCGCCAATCTTCAAAGGAGCCTTGCTCACATCCTCACAGCGCCATGAGTTGAGAGTGCCCTAGAGATCTAAAAAGGCCTCCCCTAAGGGAACAACTCACTTCACTGGTTTCAATCTTGCAATCAAGCACCACCAGTGCCCCCAGCGGCTCGCTCCTCAGTGATGCGATAGTAGAGCTCCACCTTGGACCCTGCATCATGATCGCCCAAATGCAGCAAACCTGCGAGGGCCCCTGCATGCCCGACGAGGCCCAGCTAGGCTCCGTCCAGCCACAGGCGTTTTTCGTGCAGATCCAAAGAAACAGACTGGTGGGCGTAATCCTGCCGCTGGGAAGTATGAGGACTCATTCCTCGGTGTTGAAAGTATGTTTGGTAAATTGGGTACCTTCAGCAGCATTTTTGTTCATGAATGGCACCTGCTTGCAGGGTGGCGCTGAACGCTGCATTGCTGGCGGGTTCCAAGATAGCTTTAGGCCTTGTGGCTTTGGGGATTGTAAGACACTTTTAAATATATGGGTAACGAGGGCAGCGAAGAACAAGGCTGGGAAGCCTGTGGGAACCCAACAACGCATCCAGTGGATGATGTCTCTAGTATCTTTGGTGTTTCCTGAACAAGTGACCTGAGCTGCCTAAGCTCTGGAAGCGTTGGTTTCAGTGACAAAGCCTTCAGCGACTGGAATTCCAGGCGCTTCCGGGCTTGGGGAATCTTCTTCCATGGCTGTGTAAGAATCGTCTTCCAGATGTCTTAAGTCTGTTCGGCGGTTAGACCGTGCAGACTGTCATCTCGATGGTGGTCTCTGTTCGTCGGCCTTCGAAGAACTCAGGGTGGCCGAGTTTCCGCTGGAGCCGCTGCACCTCGAGGTGCGGAGGCAACTCTCTTCAGCCCAACCAGCTACTCACTGGCTTTGCCCAACCAGTTGAGCGACTTGGAACCCAATCTGCTTAGAGAGACTCTCTGCTTGGTACGGTGATGAGTCATTTTCGGTCCTCTTGGGCACGGCGACTCAACCGGAACCATTGGAGTTATAGCTGGAGTTCCCAGCCTAATAGCAATGGCCTCCAACCTAGAAGTGATGGCCTCCAACCCAATAGCGATGGCCTCCAACCTAATAGCTGGTTTGCCGTTGTGCTGCAAAGTTCCTCAGACCCTCTCCCTATCTCTTTCGAAAGTACAAGTTTTCACTCCTCACTGTCACGTATTTTCTGATGACAGGGTGATTTCCGTGGCCATGGGTTCTCTGAATTCAAGTTCCACGTCTCCGAGGTCTTCCCATCCTCAATGAATCGCTTGGTCATCAGAAAATGAGCTGAACAGCAAACACCAAGATCAAAGCCATACAGCTCATGGCACCACATTCCCAAGCTCCAAACTCTCCTCCCGCCGACATGCCAGATCAGGAGGCCCCCACGAAGCGTTGCTGATTGGATCGACCTTCTCGCACCACCAACTCCAAGTGCATCTTCATGGGCAGGTCCTTTCAAATGCATCTGTTCTGAATGGTCACCAATCATTTACCAGCCGTGCAAGACTCCAATCTGTCTGACTTTAGTCTGCATTTGTGCAAGAGCGAAAATCGACCTTTGATGGACCCTTTCTTCTATCTCAAGGAAGGACCCTTCGTTCTTCGTATGTACCCTTATCTGGGTTCGGCTGCCTTCCCATCTTCCCCAATACCACGCGGATGCAGTGGAAAGGGTATTCTCTTGGAAGATACCTTGCACCTCAAATATCAAAACCTAGGAGATGCCATGAGATAAGTGCTACCTCAAGTTCTTCTGCAGGCCTCTGTGCTTGATCAGAGTGTACCGCCACTGTACCGCCTGCTGCCTTTTCCGGCCGTAGGATAAGAGCCATTGCATCGAAATTACATGTTGCCAAGAATGATTGGTAAATGACCTCAGCAGCTGCAATCGGTGGTGGCGAGAAAATAACGATTCGTGATCGCTCTTCTCGATCCCGGCCTGGATTCGATCTGCGAGGTTGCACTCCAAACCATGATGCAACCTGGCAAAAGCCCAAATTCTCACCACCTGACTGATGCAAATGACTAGCAGCCATGCCACGTGGATTGGCAATCCGTATCCATGTTCAAGTGACTGTCACCTGCTGAGTGACACGACGAAGACAGACTCGCCCTGGAATCAGGGGCGAGCCGTTAAAGGGATCTCGAAGGGTCCTCATGACATCCAGCGCAAGAGTGTTCCAATATGGCAGTGGGTCAAAACAAGGATACCTTCCTTGGTCGACCTACCTGGAAGGTCATTCGCTACATGGTCTCCAGGTTTTGACCCATCCCCGTATGTTTTTGTTCTAATCGCATGACGTCAAGGACTCAGTGTCTGAGTTGTGCTGTATTCCATGAGTGGCATAGAAGGAACACAGTTCAACCTTTCCCAAAAATAAGAACATGCAAGGATCAGCTTCAAATTGAGCTTCTGGTCCTGCCCTCCACTTGCCTCAGAGTGAAGCTCATAAAGCCCTGAGAAAAGCTATGATCGACAAAACTCCGCTGCGAAAGTGAACCGCCCTGTGCACCTCCTCATAATGTTCACACTCGGATCCATCTGGGCAGCTTCAGGACAAGGGTGGGGCAACAAGGAGCTAAAAATAGAAAATGATCTGCTGCTCTCGTTGCTACTTGGAATCTTCTTCCCAGGGCAAAATTGGGTGGTCCCCTATGTGGCCCTATCGGGTTTCAAACATCTCACTGTTTCTATCTATCTAGGTCCATCAAAATACTGGATGGTCACCTGTCGGTTCTCGAGGTTGTGCATAATTACCCAATGACCACACAAGACTAAAAAGTTCATCTCATGAGTTTGTCGGATGCTAAAGATTTGCATCTCCATGGGTCACAAATGATTCAAGTCACAGTCTCCTTGCAAACAAAGTACCCTTTGTCCCATAGCTGTCGTGGCCGCCATAGCCATGCGGTCTCATCCTGAGTTTCCCGGACTGCTTCTGAGGAGGGCCGGTGCAGCATCATCCGTTGGGTGTTTTGAAAGCTTCTCCTGCCAGCACCCGCCAAGCTGTGGCAGTGAAATGAACGGTCGGCCTCCACAATATGGTCAATCAATAGAAAGGTCCAGAAATTTGATCTTTATATGGCAATTACCATATTATATGATATGATCAGTCGGTTAGAGAGATGGATCAGAATTAATTTATATAATACTGGGATTCATATCCACCTGGTCTCTTCATTCTTTGAACACGCAGCTCTTGTGAAGGACCCTCGAAGAACTGGTGAACAGCGGGGGGATATTGCTACGCATGAATAGATGGGAATTCTGCAGGCAGGTTCCACCAAACAATTTCCAACAGCTTAGAAATGAGTTTTGATGAGTTGTGATAGGTTCCACCAAACTGGTTTGAGATGAGTCTTGATTTCATTTAGTTTCTCAACATGCGCAGAAATCAAGACCTCCCTACCCCAGGAGTCGAGACTCCAACATTGTTCCTGGATCACCGGTGGATGCAAAAGAAGTGCCCTCAATCCAATCTTCAACCAAGCACTTAGGCAACAACGTTCTGGTCTTTCGTTCCAGTAGTCCACATTGCTTCTAGCGGCCTAGCAATTTCCAGACTGAATGGAGCCCATTGTCCTCCGTGCCAGATCATCTTCTCTCCTCACCCGTGCACCGACAGGAGTCCGGTGTGATGTCCAGTCACGTCTAGATGGTGTCCCAAACTCCCCAATGGTCCCGTGCTTAGACTTGCAGCTACGATATGCTACGATGTGAAGGTCCTTTGTACGTGCAACAGTGACCGTGGCGAATCGTTGCACCAAGCAGGGCAACGGCTACTGGTCATTTGCACAGTTCTGTTTGCTTTGCAAAGGGGTGAATGGCAAAAAATAGTTGGACCATGTTCTACCAACATCAAAAGATTGGTTCTGCCTGTCACAAATGACGGCTCAACGCCCGAGGAGAGGAATACATTTGGCCCCATGGAGAACCCATCTGCCCCTGAGTTCCAGGCTCTGACGGGTCCATCTCTTCGATGAAAAGCGGATCTGCACGGCAGTTCAACCGATGGTCCGTGGCAGACCCTCGCGGAGCTCAAATCATGGTTTTTCGCCACTCGCGGCGGCAACTCCGAAGGAGTGTTCTGCGGAAGAAGAAAACACAAAAAAAAGCCAAGAGTTCTGACCAAGTACGGCGAAACACTTTAGTGGATTCACCTATCTTCGGAATCTAAAGCCATCCAAAAACTGGTGATCCAGGTGTCACCTCAACATACTTCCAAGAAGCTACTAGTAACAAGTGCCACGCTAGTAGTAACAGGTGCCTTACTAGGAGTAACAATGTTTGCTATTAATTAACAAGAACCTGGACCTCCTGAAATCCGGACACCAACTCCGATTGTGACACGGCAAAGCAGGTTTTGGGTCTCATGATCTTCTCATGCATTGGTCGGTGAACAAAGAGAGTCACATAGATTCACCCAAAACAATGGCACAGCACATAGATGCACATAGTCCATCCTACGCAATCCAAGAGATCGCTTCAACTTTTCTCGTGTCGCCAACACGAGTCCTCTCTGTTCGCCTTTCTTTAGAATCATCTGAGTCTCCAGAGCATGGAACTCGGCCTCGAGCAAGACCGGCCGGCACGGGCAGTGAGTCCCAGCGTACAAATTGACGCAAAGTAGGTGGGGTATTCCTTCACTGGCAGTTTTCTTCCAGGTGAATATAAGGCAATGACCCCAATCTCATTCAGTACTCTTCTCGAGCAGGTTTCTTGGCCCCATCTTGTATCTACTGGCAGCCACAATCAATTTCAAGGAAAAGGAATTCCCCAAACAATGCTGTTGCCAATGTACTCTTTCTCTCAGGAAGCCTCGCTTGGCGGCTCCATTGAGAGCACATGCTCCCAAGTGACCCATACCTTTGGGTCCAAAAGCCACGAACAAACAACCCCCATTCTCGTAGTATCTTTGGGTCAGCGTTTCTCCAGCTTCACACCGATTCATACGAAATGATTTCTATCATCCTATCAGCATTCTCAGCCATACCTTCTTTTGGCAAAGCAACAACAATCCCCCTTCGAGGCGTTGCCACAAGGTTCCTGTTTGACCTGCGCCCAGCGCCCAGTGCCCTGCGCCTCCTGGTGTTCCTTCCGCAATGCCTCGAAGAGCCGTGTGGCGCGTGGCGCGCCGACCGGCTCTGGAACTGCCTGGACGGCATCACAGAGCGCAGGAAGGGAATCTGAAAATGTTCGATGAATTTTGCTTGACTTAGTTCGGGTGGCCTTTGCATACCCAGTTCATCTGGCGAACTGAAGCAAGCAACGTGTGGAAGCTGCGGGGCCATGCCAATTTTCAGATTACAGGGAGTTGATACTCTGGCACAAGGTTCACGGAAAGATTTGGGGGCGGGTGCATTGATGAGGGAAGGGAAGGCTCGCCTCCCTTTGAAAAGTTGCTGCTGCGAACCTGCATGTAGGCATGTTTTTCGCGGCAACCTGTGGGGGGTGACACCGCGAACCTGATGTGACTTGCTTGGTTTCCTAATACCCTAACACATGAGCTGCTCTGATGGCGGGCCCAACCCATCCCCTCATTTAAGTTGATCTGCACACAAGGCAGTGCACTTTCGGGTCCTGTCGCCTCCATATCTTGCAACAAAACATGACAGAAACCCATGGCTCTTGTCTAGGTGTGCCCTCAGCCAAAAGAAAGACTTCACACATTGGTCGGTTGGAGGGCGACCAGGTCGCCATGATCAGGTCGGAGAAGGTCAGTGGGCAACGAAGACGAATCGTCCTTCTTTTTCGCGCGGGGCGATCAAAGCTTTGACATTCCCCTCAGGTCTGCCTGGGTCTGCGTGCTGTGCAACACAGGATTGTTTCACGCATGCTGACACCCAAAAAGTCCCTGCAGATCACCTGCTCGACTTCGTGTGAAACCTCCATCTCCACCCATTCGGGGAACGCGAAGCCGCGCAGGCCGCAACGCCACGACAGTCGATCGCCTCTTCAAGGAGGTTCTCTCGATGCACATGCACCAAGAAGTACCTGGGAAGGAAAATACCGCTCAGCCATTCGACGTTTGTGGCGTTGAAGGATTGACGCTGTAAGGCCAAGCTGTGACATCTGTGAGGGTTGACCCACAAAGCACGATGGCGCACAAGGTTCCAGGTTGCAGTCCATACTCCATAGGAGAGCAGATCGAGATGCCCAAGAGCTGTGCTTTCGCAGGCCTTGGTGGACTTAACAAAGTTTCCAGAAATTATCGAGAAAAAGGCTAATGAAGTCAGAAAGCCCCTCATTCATGATACTTATGTCACAATGTCCTAAAGAATGCTTGATGAAGATGCTTCCATGTCTATGTCTATGTGACTGCATAGAGAGATTCTCACTTGGGCTCCATTCATTCGCCAGCAGGCAATGAGGTGTCAATACTGCTTGACAGTCGTGAACTATCATGGAAAGGGTGCAATCCTTGTGATTCCACCAGTGAAACTTCAAATCATCTTGAACATGTTACAGGCCACATGATCAGTGGCTCACACTGCGACCAAAACCGGCTCTATAGCTGATTCCACCCTCCCAAATGCCATCCATGAACGGTTCTGCACGCCGAGATTTCTCTGGGCGAAAGCCTTTCATGTGCAGCCAGACCTTGCGATCTCGGGGATATCGTTTGAGCGTTGCCTCTTCTGCGATGACCCGACCAAAATGGCCGGGAAGCTGCAAACTCATCCGTTTGATGACTCTTGACTGAACAGTAGGATCCTGCAAAGCCCTCTCCACGAAGGTTGCCACAGTTGATCGAATCTTCTCCCAGTCGGTGGGTTTGACAAGCTTACGCAAGCTGGGCATGCTGGATTGCAAGCCTGCACCAAGATCATCTGGCGCTTCACATCTTCTGAACTTCAAGTGAGCCTCTTGCACATCCTGAAGCAAAGTATCTGCATCAACTAGCAGGGTCATTTCTTGCAGTTCCGGACAACCATGAGCACATGAACTTCTTCCAGTGCTTGCTGAGATGACTGATGTATTGTCTTTCTGCAGAAAATCAGCAGCATGGCTTTGGCCCGTCAACAAAAGCTCTGCAGGCAATGAATCTTCTGCAGCATCTGGTTGAGGCCGACACTCGAGATCTTCTTTGAAGGCAATCAAGTGATATGGTTCACGTGCACCAAAGAGGCCTGAAATGGGTACGTGGTAGATGTCTGCTGCAACCCTAATACCTGCTGATCCACGAAAAGAAACTCGTAGACATCCAGGAGTTGAAGAATGCTTGGATTCTGGTGCACAACATGACTCAGTGGACGACTTGATGAATTCGCTGAAGCGAGGCACTTCATCAGGAACGAGTAGACGTTCAAAGGATCGCCCCTTCAGGCTTACACTGGTGAGAATCAGATGCTTCAAACAATCGCTTTCCTGGGCAACATTCATGTGGCTATCCAAGAGGACTTCGCCATCACAAACACCCCTCAGCATCTGCCGGAAGCTGGACACCAAAGACTCTGCGTCAGCCGTGTCCAGAAGGGCATAGATTCTCCGCCGCAGCAACAAATCAATGTACACCGAGGAGGCAATGTTGATGGCTATCATAAAGAATTGACTGATGAACAAGGATCCCAAATGCACACTTGATGGCTCGAAAACCACAAAGTAGACCGACATTTCAGCGAGGGTAAAGATAAATTGAAAAGGAATGGAGAATCCGGGGTCCAAAAAGGCCACTATCAGGGCGAAGCGGGTAACCCAATGAAAGCCTTGCCAGACCGCAAATTGGAATCCAGTTTCAGACGCCCCAGAAGCCATGATGAGTACAATCTGCATGGTATGCATTAACCAAGTCAGGAACTTTAGTCGCTCAGGTGTCAAGTTCACCAAGTTCTTCGAGACGATGACATGCTGCGCATAGGCCACGACAGAACAACCTGCGAAGGCGACGGAGTCGAGCCGGCATGCTAGAGCAGCATGCAAAACCAGGCCAATACCTGCCAGAAAGGTGATATGAGAAAAGCAACGCGTGATGAACTTGTAGTTGCTCTGGCGGATCTTTATCATCTCTTCCTCCACCCGGACATCCTTCAACACATCCACCTGTTGGCGTGGTGCGGCCATAAGGGACTCGATCCATCTTCTCAGGTCTCCCAAGTCTGACGTAGTGAGGCGCAGGTGCAGCAGCCCCCAAGCGAGCACCAAGGTTGACGCTGCAACCCAACCGTCCATGGCGTCCTTCAAGAGCCCCAAGATCTGAAACTGGTCTTGGTCTTTTTGCATTGAATTCTAATTCTTGTTTCTAATAGCTTCTTGTTCCCAGTAGCGATGCCAGGAGCCCCCAGTAGCATCCTTGCTCCTATTAGCGATGCCCTCTGCTCCTAGTAGCGTCTTGCCTAGTGTTTGCACCTTGTTTCACTGTGTAGATTTGTTTGCTCTCTATGCGTAATAGAACACCTGAGGTGTCCTGACAGTCCGTAGAGCCGTTCACTTGACCACGCAAGAAGATAGGGATTTGACCACGCGATGTGAGCACGTGCAAACATGCCAACGTGTTGCCCTGAAGCAAATTCCAGTGTCTGTCCTGACTTCCAAACATTGAACATGTATGCTTCACAGGGACCTTGTCTCGGCTCCTGACACTGGGCAAAAGCCGAACCTCTGGTACTTCTGGGATGGCGGATCCTCCAGGTCCGTGAACCGGAAAACCGGTGCGTCCGCTTTTCGGTCATCGGTCCACAGCCCTGGTGACAACGGTCCTCCACAGCGGTCAAGGGGAATGACCTCGACCTGAGGAAGGTGAAGGTGAATTGCCAACACTCTGATCAAGGGAGTGGTTGAAAAGCTCGTGAGTCGCCCTTGAGTCTCTTGATTTCACAGAAATTACTGCACTTTGCAACATCAAAGTGTCTAGAAGCATCGCTTCGTTTGTGGGCCATTAAGCTCCTGGTCCCACCAGGTGTTCGATACCAAAGGCCTGTTTTCAACAGGGAGTAGCTTAGGATCATAGTGATTTCAGATGTGACCCAGTAAGCGCCCCCCCGATTCAGTTCGTTCCAAAGAATTAAAGCTCGGAGCAATAAAGCGATTTGGTGATTCAAAGCATATCAAAGCATCTTGCTGTTTCTATTCTAGCTTTGCCAGCTAGTTGCCAGACTGTAGTCGCTCAGTTGGCATTCAAGTGCTAGCTTCCGAGGTTTGCTTTTGGGAAGTCATGTTGTTTGTCCGATTCTCAGCTACTGGGTGAGCGTCGATCAAAGTGATGCACCGGACATGCGTGAGCACAGACATGGCCACAGCTCAGGTCGTCACTCTTGAGATCGAATGCTATACCTTGGTCCATCTCAATCGCCATACAAATCTGTGCAGTTTGGGGAATTGGGTGGATTGGGTGGTTCCACTACCTGTGCATCGTGTAAATACCGATATGGACACTCCTTTGTACGGAAATGTAACATTGGGGGGCTGGAACTGCGCCTAGACACTTTGCATGTGTGTACGTGTTCCTGTGTGCATCGGATGTCGATGTTAGAGTCATGCAAGTGCAACAGTGTATTGAAATATTGAGCAAGACTGATTGAAATGAAAACAGCTCTGTGTTTTTGGCGTCTTCATCCAGCCCACAGTTTTGCTTCAAGGACGCTGTCAACGTTGCTATGTAGGAGAACCCTGGAACTGCAACGTTGCCAAAAGAGGATTCATTCTAACGCAACAACTTGCTCGTTTGACACCAACTGTGACCGCGGATAGTGCTGCTCTTGGTGACACGGTCTTTGTGCATACTGTATCCAGAAGTTTCCTTGGTTGGGTTACTCCGTACGTCAGGTGAACATGCACCAAATGAACGTGATACAGTCGATGAATGTCCATGATGCCAAACTCACGAATCCCAAGACAAATTGCTGCAGACCACCTCGAGCCACCAAATAATCTGGGCTCGCCCAACTTCAGTGGATGTTCCACCAGCTTCTCTGGGCCTCGAAGCAGGTGGACGGTGGCTTTCCACCCAATCAAACAAGACATCGCCTTGAGCAAGAATTGTTAAGTTTCTATGAGAAGGCACCAAAAAAGCTGCCTCTCTGGCAGTCTGGCAGGTATCAATAACAGTCCCACACTCACAAACAACAAAAAAGAAGCTACAACTACAACTCTTCTTGGATGAAATGAATGTTTACTGTCTGATCCTTCGGATCGCAGGTTCATCAAGTATACAGTATCCTGTATCCTTAATATGTGTATGTATATGTATATCAATATATATATATATTACTTGTAACACTATATCATAAATGTATACTATATATATACACAACACTATATTGATCTATGCTGTACTGTATGCATGTCTATATATAGTACACTATGAATCATTCCAACATATCTAATCATATCCGATCGGCCCTGCATCTGAAAAGATGTGTGGCCCCGGCGTTGCGTTGTAGCGATGCGGAATGCAAGCTCGTATTTGGAGACGGAGCAAGGCAGCAGCACTCCTGAGGGCCAACACCCTAGGTTGGAGATGTCAAAGAGACGTCCAAATTCCCAGATTTGCAATGTTCAACATGTTTTGTTTGACCCTGGTGTTGGCTTTGAGATTCCAGAAATGTCCATGCTTTCCTTCTCGATGGACTGGAGGAGGACTTTCAATGGCGTTTTTGGCTACCGTGTTCTTTTGCTGTCAGATGTCTTTTCCTCAGACCAATGATGACTGTGACTCAGACCTGGCCACAGCAGCGCAGCAAGGTATCACAACCTGCTGGGGATCCCCTACGAACCAGGAAGCGGTCGTGGAGGTTGAAGACCTTGCAGTGCGGTCAGGGTCGATGCTGAAGACATGTCCAAAAATCGTGTAGCACAATGGGAGATGAATGTCAAGAGAACGCTCCCAACCAGGTCATGCTGCCTATATATGCAATGTTTCCAAAAATGACACAGAATGGTCTTAGACGAAGGATGATCCTTGCCAAGGAGCTCCCAAACTGACAGGCAGCAGCCCAGACAAACTAAGTAGTTACTGGATGGTCGTGCTGCTTTGGATCAACAAAACCATGGCATGTCCATGCCCACTGGCTGAAAACAATGTCATGAGAAGGTGTCATGACAGACAGTTGTTCTTCTATTATCCTTTATAGCCCCAAGTCCACAGTAGACCAAGATACAGTAAGTACTCCAAACTCTGAGGCTCCCACCATAGTGGCTCGTTCCACCTTTATCTTCCCATCCTCAAGCGGGAAAAAGGATAAAACTTCTGCGCAGGAGGGGGACTTGGACCCCAAGTCACCTGAGCATGACAAAGGAAGTTTTTGCACTCTTATTCGGTATTCGTCTTGCGATGGAACCTGGCGACAAAAACCATCTCACTTGTTTTCTTGCCTTCCAGAAGTACTAAGTGGTGTTCAAGTTCCAAGAGAATTATATAGCATTGGAGGAAAAAGACCTGGCATCTTCGAGACAATTCAACAGTTTGCAAAATCCACCAGTCAATGCAAGTCAATCCTCCACACCCCCTTTTGTCCACACCGAAACGGGTTCCCCGGACGGATCTCTGGAGCCGAAGGCAAGCGTCAAAGGTGGCCACCTCGGCGCAGGGGTGGGAGGTGTTGCTTGAGCAAAGCATTCAAATAGTATGCAAAGCTACTAGCACTGGCCTCCAACCTACTAGCAAACTATATCAGACCTTCAAACCTGCACAAATGTCTAGTCAAAAAGGCTGCATCGTGAAGAAGGTCAAGAGTGAGGATGGAACCCCTGCGCAGTAGAAGAACATGGAGAGCTCGATGTCGTCCGTCTTGAACTCCTGCCACATGACCACGGGGCAACCAGTGCCTTCTCTGGAGTCTGCCGACTTTACGATCTTCAAACGGACTGCCGATAGATGAAAACCATCGCTGAGGTGTTCAAGTCTTCCTAAACCGATTTCGGGCCATCAACTATATGCGCCAGCGGTATTGTCTTTGCGGTCGTGTGCAGTAGAGGAAACAGCCCAAAAGCACTTCTCTGGTGAAGCGGCGCGGTTGAGATCTCAACGGGTTGAGTATGTTTGAATTGAGTGCGTTAAACTTGAGTCTAAAGATTGGTTCCAGAGGGGTTGCAGATCAACCACTGGGAACTTCCAAGTTCCAAGTGATGTCAGTCAATGCTGTGGGTGAATGTGTGCAATTGGCAGAAGTCTGTGCCTGACAACGAGTGAAACAGTTCGCAAGCAACGGCCAGAGAGATCAATCATCAACCTATTCGGTGTCAAGCCCCGTCAAATGAAACGTGAAGCATCAATCAATGGTAAATCAGGATGGGGTTCTGTACCAACCTGAAGGAACATCCCTTTATTTCTCCTCCCAAGAAAACCCCCCTCCTTCGTGAGGTGCGAGAGCGGCCGAAGATCAGGGACCGTGGAGCTGGGCACCGAGAAACCTTCCCGTCGCGTCAACGAAGCCGAAGACATCTCCGAAAGTCTTCGATGTACGGACCCGTGGTTCTGACGTTCTGTTTCCTTCTTCAAGCGCCGGTCCACACGCGGCGATGGTGGTGCCAAAGCGCATCTAAGCGTTCTTTGGTGCCTGAAGTGAGGCCCAACAGCAACTGCTGACTAGCGGGGCAATGTTTCTGCACATAGGCAGCAAAATCAGAATCCAGCATCCAGGATTCCCACTCAGGAAGAGCTACGTTGAGTGGCAGCCCACCTGGAGGCAAGAGAATGGGAGGCGGGGCCAAGTTGCCGCCCAAATGACCAAGCTGGCCATAGTGATTTCTTGCTTGGGGCAAGCTGAAAGCCTCTTGGGTCTGTGAAAAGGCTGGGAAGGCTGTGTGCGCGGAGGTCGGTGGGAAGGCTGGTGGAATGTCCTGCCTGGAAGGCTCCTTCGGCTCCTTGCGTTCAGCCAAACGCCGCTTGGGGATGGCCGAGGCATTTGGAGAGGTCCTCTTACGCTTTTCAAATCCACCTTGGGTCGGCGCTGGTGGTGTTGGGAACGGCTGCTGTGGAAGCTGTTGGATCTCTTTCTGAGTCAGTCCCACCTCTGTATCTGGGATGTCCAGCTGCTGCAATTTCGCCGCCATGGCTGCCTCGCGGTCAGCAAAGTCCACCAGCTCAAAGCCCAGTTGTTTCTGGAAAAAGTCCAGATGCTCGGCCTCTTCTCCCGCAAAGACCAACGACACCATCCAGCCCACAGACCCAAAGCGAGCCGTCCGGCCGCTGCGATGCAAGTAGGTCTCCTTCTCCACCGGCAAGTTGAGGTTCACCACCACGTCGACATTCCTCGGACTTCAACCCTAAAGTATCTCACCTACGGGACAAATATGAACAAATCCTAGGAAGAAAAACAACCAACACTGTGAAAAAGAGTTCTGCGCATGACGTTGCAGCCGAAATTCTCAGCATCAATGCCACGTGCCATTAGATCGGTACACACCAAGACACGATACTGGAATCGCTTGAGCCCTGCAAAAGCTTGCGTCCTCCAGGATTGTTCCATCTTCCCACCACTTGCAGCCGCAGGCACTCCGGCCTGATTCAGCATCTCAGCGATCTGTATCGCATTGTTGGAGTCTGCCACAAACACAAAAGCCTGCTGATAGGAAGCTGTTGTCAGGACTTCCAACAGTGCAGGCAGTTTCTGCCGCACATGGTATCCTTCTAGAACGTAGCGCACATGAAGCACGCCTTTAAGTAAAGCGGTCTCGGCCTTCTCACCATCCTGATCGAGCTCGTCGATGTTCAAACCATCTTCGTCTTTCTTCACAGCCGATGTACACAAGAACACCTTGTGAGGAAGCTCACGCTCGATGGGCTGCCCGCGAGTGGCGTGCTTCTTTTCCACATGAACAAAGAGATCTTCAGCTATGGCGACCAAAGGTGGAGGGAAGGTCGCTGAAACCGCCAGGAATTGAAGCTGCTTGGTGAAAACCATCTCAGTAATGGCAAAGATGTCTTGCCTGAAGTAGGAGTCCAGAAGCTTATCTGCCTCATCCAAGACCAGGAAGCGTGCATCCGTCAAGAGGATGCCATCTCTGAGGAGCTTCAAGGTGCGACCGGGGCTGCCAACGGCCACATGTGGCGAACAGTTCGAAAGGCGCTCCTCGTGCTCTTCAATGGGGACACCACCAATGAAACAGCCGACATCCACCGGTGGATCCAAGTACCAGCCCAGTCGGCTGAGCTCATCGGAGATTTGCATGGCAATCTCACGTGTGGGAGCCAAAATCACCGCTTGTGAAGACCCGGCAGTAGAAGTGTCAATGCCCTCCAACACCACAGAACAGAATGCAATAGTCTTCCCTGTTCCAGACTTGGCTTGTATGATCACGTCTCCACCACCAAGGGCCAATGGGATGCTGTGTAGCTGCACCGGCGAGGGATGTTCACAGCCCATCTCCTGCAAGCTGCGGAGCAAGCTCGTGGAGAGGGAGAGCTCTGCAAAGGTACACTGCTCAGTCTTTTCATCTGCCACATCGCTGGTCTTAAAGCGCGGCATGGCAGTCGCAAGCAACGTGTGTCGGTGTGTCTCGAAGGGGTGAGTGTGCAATGTACGTGTGTCTGTCTGTGTCTGTCAACGTGCGTGAGAAAAACGAATGCAAACATGCACCTTCATGCGCGCCAACATGTTCTGCATCCTTTGCATCGTGGCTTTGGAAGGTCCTCCACGCCACCAAGGACTACTGAGTTTGATTGAAGAAACGCTCTGAGAATCAATGGCTTGGGTCCGATTTCTGCAGTGCGTTGATGAAGTCACAGGGTTCTGAACTTGCCTTTCACCTAAGGCAAGGCTGTATACCCACAAAAAATGGCTGAGAGCTAGGGGACACCTCCTGGTAGAGATACCAAGCATTCAAAACAAGTGAAGATATAGAAAAAGAAACACACCAGAAGCATTGGCGTTCGAGTTCTTCTCGGTCACCAGGCTTCGGTGCAACGGAGGCAGTGCTGCCTGGCTGACAGGACGCTGTTGAGCCATTCCAATCCACTAATGGCTAACCCTCAAGCCACTATATGTTGAGCCGGAATCAGAGCAGTACAGCAGTAGTTTTTTTTGAGTTTGCAGATTGAATCCTGAGGGCAAGGAATGTGGTAATGTCTACCAGTCTACTGCCCGCTTCTCAACGAACCACAGTGAAGCTCTATTGTGAACTGTAGTAATAGCGGAAGCTCAACCTGACAGCTAAGACTTGCTTCCGAGGATTGGATACGGAGAAAACAACATCCTCTTGGACGATGTAATTAACAGCAAGAGCATTGATCCGCGATGGCACCATTCTGAACAGGAAAGTAGCCTTCCTCTGTCCACCTTCTGACCTCCCTGTTTTGAATCCCCACCTGGAAGGGCTGGATGTTCCCAAACAACTCGCAAAATGTCTGCACTTTCTCAAAGAACTCATGGTCCTGCCCAGCGCGGTCTTCGTGACACGAAACTCTCCAAATCAGATCTATGGTGGTATTCTGGATTTGTGGATCCCAGAGGGTTGTTCTAAGTTGGTCACCTAGTGAAGACATCCTGTCACGTTGGACCCTTGGTTTCAACAAGTCTTGAAATCTACTTCTGAAACGCTGGCCTCGACTGTTGAAATGAAAAAACCTAGCATAATGAATTGTCAGACTGCGACAAGTGTTGAAGCTGGGATGGGGCACCACGAACCCATACAGAAGCACTGCGAAAGAGTCCATGCCCATCCCCCGTTCAGCCTGCCATTCCAGTTCTGCACAGGTGCGGAACTCATGGAAGAAGTGATGCCTGTCTCAAGACGCAGAACGGGGTAGTTATTTGACTCAACTGCCCCGCAAAACTAAAAGGGTCTTGCGTCTTGGCAACGCGGCAACACCCAAGTTCTGCATAGTTCTGAAGGACTACCATGGCTCACGTACTGGAAAGATCTTGGGAGTTTTCCTTTCCCGCTTTCCTGTATGTGTAGTGTGTTTTTTGTATGTGTATAAGCAGAAAAGCGTCCTTTCCGCCACTGCGACCAGGCAATGCTCAAGCTTGAGGGAACCCCAAGGAACATGGGCACGCTCGGTTGCATTCTAATACCTGTCTCCGACCAAAGAAAACTTCCAGAGAACACCTGCTTTTGCCAACAAAAGAATGCACGCTCAGAAGCGGACACTCTCTCAAGGACCCACAACCTGCCCAGTCCACGCACCAATTGAAACGTGTAGAATACACAGAACACCCAACCTGCCCAATTTGGTGCCCTTTGGCTTCTTTAACTGCTCGTTTTCTACTCAGCGTTGGCGCGCGTGATCTGGCGCTGTACCGTGGCAAAAGTTCGACCAAAAGAATTTGTAAAGGCGGACGGAGGCAGTCAACTCTAAAGGGAAATCCAGAAGTAACACTGACGCCCGAGCAACATCCAAATAACCCCAGCCGTCTCGGAATGAATCCTTCCAACTACCCAAAGTCCAAGTTCGTCTACCTTTCGGGTCTGAGCACACTCGTGCGTTTGCACCGCCTCGCCTCAAACTATACAAGGAGAGACGTAGAGATGAAACCCCAATTGGCGGGAGGCATACGGAGAATGTGGCCACAAAGCCAAATCCAAAAGGACAGAAAGAAAGCGTGAAAGCGGTGCATTGTGCAAGGCAAGGCTTTGTTGGTGAGACGTTGAAGCCTTGGTGGTTTCAAGGTGCAAAACACAACCCTTCTGGTGAGATCAAGGGTGGGCCACGCTAGGTCCAGCGGTAGCCCACCAATGGGGGCGGTCACATGCTTTGGTGTAGTAGCTTCCTGCTACTAGTAGTAATGGCCTGTACAGAGCACCGAGGCTGATGAACAGCTTCATGAACTGCCGGACAGGTGTGAACCACCAGGGCCCGTTGAGAGCGCACACCTTGGCTGCTCCTTTGAGAGAAGCAGCATGTCCGCCCCGTGGGTGCTCATCAGGCCTCAATGTCTTGCTGCCTGAGTCTTTTGGCCCTGAAGAGCGTAGAAATCTTTTCTGGAACAGAAGTTCCCTTCGCTATGCTCCTGCGCGTATTGACTGAGCAAAACCTCAACCCGCAGGCCCTTGGAAGGATACTTCGAAATTCTGCAAGGCTCTTTGCGGAACTGCCGCACAGTGCCGGGCATTCTGCATTTTGCGGCTAATTCTCCAAAGGTGCAAGGCCATCTCATACTTCCATTCCTTTTTGGGGCCCTTTTTCCAGCCACTAGTGGCAAGGACGCTACTAGGTGGAGGCCATCGCTACCAGGGTGGAGGCAATTACTACTAGTAACAAGAAGCTACTAGGCGCTCCTGGCATCGCTACTAGGAGCAAGGACGCTACAAGGGGCTCCTGGCTTTACTAGTAACAAGGACGCTACTAGTAGCTAGAAGCTACTAGGTGGAGGATACATGTCTAGGTGGCTATCACTCACGCACCACATCTCGGCCCTTGATGCTCCGTCTTCGTCCCCCCGTCATCACGCGAGCCTATTCGCCTGGGTATTCGTATCTGTGTCCTGAGTAAACAATCTCCAATAGTCCAATAGTTGACACCGGTCATACCTTTGATTCTGTAGCCATCCTTCATTGTCCTTTCAACTGACCCAAGGGTCCCGGGGCCCGGCCTTACAGTTTTTTGTTATGTTTAAAGAGGTTGCTCTTTTTTGGAGTGCCACTCTGCTATCTTTGGCGTCTGAACCCTGTGCACCCCCAACAACCCTTCCCACCTCTGGTTGCTGCCCCGCAGGCCGCGAAGCTCCACCTTGCAATCCGTTGTTTTCGAACAACCCAAGTCCGACGTTGGTGCTCGGAGGGGCCAGGTAGGAGTACGTTGGTCAAATCACGTGACTCAGACTTAAACCTTGTTTTTGTCGACTTTGTTGAACCAATGGCTCTTGCAAGAAGCCTTTGTTACCAGTGTTGCATGGGCTGTCACAATGGTATGTATTAACTTGGCAAGCCTTAAATGTCACAATGGTATGCGAAACACAAACTCTACCTCTTGGCCAGTCTGAGGGGTCTCGCCCAATGGTCTACAGCGCCTGGGATATTCTACACAAGAGAGACTCTTGGGCCGGGTTGTTTTGGCTCCAATGTTTCGGCTGCGAGGCTTTCTTGTGGGGTCGGCCACCTCCTCGGGTCCCCTTCTTGCGAAGACCTTCTGCCCATATGTCGAAACCTGATCCACATGGCTTGCCACATCTCAATTCAAGTTCCCATGACCGTTGAACCCACGGGGTCTGCCTCCAGTTGATCTCCCTCGCAGAGCCGTAGGAGCTGAGGACCTCAAGACAGGAGATGAAGACACTGGGGATACCACTGGCCCGGAGAGATTTCGATTCACATCATGGACACCCACCTGGAAGAGCCACATGCGTTTCGGTTTTGCGGGTGGGAGATGTGATGGGCTGGGTGCGAGTATAGCTAAAATGACGTGAAACTATGGCATCAGTGAACTCTGTTCCTTTCTCAGCATAGAGAGGGAGAGAGAGCGCGCAATCCGCAGTACAGAGTTGTACAGGTAAGCTATGATAGTTGGGAAGCTGAAACTGCCTGAGGTCCGGCCAGTGCCGGGCCTATGCCATGTTGCAATTTGTGCGAAGCAAGCCCCGATGTTCAAGGAAGCATCGCCCCTCCAATCACCGCCATCTATGAATCAGTACAATCTTGGGCAGGGGCCGCCCGCATCTTCCCTCCCAAAGACATCTGGCACCATTGGCCACTTGGCCGGAAGAGGCGCCGGGCGGAAGAGGATGCAAAAGGAGTTTCCCTCGGCGGAGCAATCGCAGGTCAGGAAACTCAGCGGCAGCTCCTTCGGCAACTCTGCACGGTTCTTCCACAGCGACTGGCGACTCAGGAGGTTCTAGGGTGAGGGTGTGTGAGTGTGTGTGAGTGTTACTGGGAGGTTCGGTGTGAGCTTCGTGGGGCTCGGGTCTGTTTACCTCCCCAACAATCATGGAAGGGGACAACCCACTCTTGGTAGAGGAAAATAGAGGCCATTGTCCACAAGGACTTCGCAGCAACTGCAGCCAAACAAATCCTCCAAACGAATCGCATCATATGGCGCATCCTCTGGCAACCTCAGCTCAGAGCTGGAGAAGAGGGTACCTGATTTACTCACAATCCCTGAAGAAGATGTCAGCAGAAACGCATGGAGACTAGGCATGACTAGGCTGACTTCACAGGAGCAAATTGCCGCAGGTGTAAGGTTTAAGGACCCAGTTCGAGAAAGAAACAATGAACTCGACACATGCGGGCCCTGCAATCCACTTCTATACACCAAAGCCCAGCACAACCAACCATCCAGCCTTAAAGAGCAACCTGTGGAGGTATTGAAAGATTCAGACAACCCTAAAGACCTCTGGGCAGAAGAAACATTGTAAAATAGACTGGCAGTCTCCCTAGCAAGCCCTTTTCGAACACACACTCACGTCGATGTGAGATACCTCTCAAGCTGAGCACCCCGCCACAAGCTGTTGTACTTAGAGGCCCTTCGAGAACCCCCCGGCGGCGGAAGCCGTGCCCGCAGCAAGCGCACACGCCACATCCGCACCTCTTCCGACCAAATGCAAAGTACAAATGACCCCACAATGACTTCTGGCCTCCAACCTAATAGCTTCTAATTGACTTCTACAAATCGGTCCCTGGGGAACCCCCTCGGCAACTTCAGTACAAGAATAATGCAAGAATCTCTTCAAGGTTGGCTATGAATGAGGTGGTGGTGCAGAAGCTAGAGGAACGCCTTCAAGACTGATCCTGCAGGACCTCTCCAGTGACTCCTCAGGCCCTCCCACCTGCAAGGCATGGCTAGGTTGAAAGCAGCGACCTTGCTGGCGATAGGCCACTGACAGAGGTCTCTGGGGTCGCCAGGGTCATCTCAAGTGCCATTGGCCCAGTAGAAGTTGTGTCAATCTGACGGCCCTGGTGGCCAAGACCTGTAAACACCCACTAGGGCACTGTGGTTCACGGCTTGCCTGGCCGTCCAGTTGATGTAAGAGCACAAACATGCTAGACTTTTGATGGGAGTCTTGTGGATTGTCGTGCATCACACCTCATCAATTCTATCTGGTCCGAGCATTTGTCACCTCCACGAAATCAGACGCGATATGATCAACCCTCGCTGCAAAGCAGATCCAATAATCCTGAAGCTTTCGAAAGTGTGGATGAAGGGGAAACCTGGGGTGTCCAGGATCTTGCCTGATCTTTTGCCACTAAAACGGGTGTTCGCATTTGAGTCAATGCGACGAGCTCCCGGACGCTACCTAGAAAAACGATGAGACGAGCGACTGTTGGGCATGATGGTCCAGGTCGGCAGGTGGCAACCCGAAAGCAGCTCCAAAGGGCAAACCTGGTCGGCCATCGGCTGGGTTAAAGAAGATCGGCCATTGGCCTGAACACTCCCAAACCGAGCCAGTTGGGAATGTTCTTCCATCTTGTAGGGTTTGGGGTTGTTGAAAGGTGCAGCAGTTTCTGGCACTCACAAGATGTACTGTAACTACAAGTTCTAATGTTAAGTTTCCCGGAAAACTAGAAACCAAATCATTCATGCGAGCGCTTCTTCAAGGAAGCTTCCCCCGCCTCCCTGGGGGAGCTTCCTTGAAGAAGCGCGAGCTATCCTGCGTCCAGTAGGTAGTAGCTAGCTACCTAGCTACCTACCTAGCTGCCTACCTAGCTACCTACCTCTAGCTACTACCAACCTCTAGCGGTCTACCCCCCATTAAAAAAATATTATATATATATATAATAGGTGTTTGTTATTTTATAACAAAATAAATGCAAGATGATGAAATGTGGAGTCTACCGTGAAGTCTTGGAAAAATGGGTCTCTGTCAGCTGATGGAGGGTGCTAAAAGCGGATTCTGAAATATTGTCGAACCGGAACAAGCATTGGAAGAGAACTGCAAAGGTCCAAAAAAGAATCGGTACAAGAAACATCAAGAAACCATCACAGCAGCACACCGGTGCTAAGGAAGTTGTGCAAATTGAAGATCTCAATCATCACTCTAAGCATTCTGCCATCTGATGGGTTGGTGCAGGTTCTTCCTTGGAACCCCCTTTCATGATTGAAAATGAGAACTGGCCAAGCTTGGCCCTGATCACTTGGAAATTTGGTTCTTCCTGGTTCCACCAAAGATTCGGGAGATTGGGCCCCTTGGAAAGGTCGAAGAGCCCAAGAATGATCCGAACATAAAAATGCTTGGGGACCTGGACAATAAAGGCCTTTGGCATTGGTTTGGGCCTTTGGGATCCTGTTGGGTGGTAATGCTTTAGGAAGCTGGCAGGGCCATCCGCTGGAGGTTGTAAGGAGCTTCGGTTCAATCTTGTTTTGCATCAACTTTCGGGGAATAAGAACTCTTCTGCAAGGTGAGGAAGAACCGCCCAGGCGAACCGTCTCTGCTGGGCGAACCTGCCCCCGTTCTCAGCCCCCAAACACCCTCAGGCGGGAAGACCACAAAATTGGGCTCGTCCTCCTGGTGAGAATCAGCTTCCAAGCCCGCAAGCAGTGGACTTGGATGGCAACCAGGAAGAGTCTGACAGAACAGAGGTAAAGCTTGATAAAATTGTGAGAAAACTGATGAGAGAAGGGTCAAGGACCACGGAATGGACAGGAAGAGAGAAAAGAGGCAGTGAAAGAAACGTCGAACAACATGGAAGAGTGGAGAAGAAGGAAGGGCCTAACCATTGGCACTAGAATCTAGAAACTTGGATTCATGTAGGAGTGAGGTCTGCTGCCATGCACACCTCAACTGCACAGGGTAGTCTACCTGAGAAGGCTCACCAACCCTACTTTTGCTGGAAGTAAATTCTGTCGTCTTCTTGGATTAGGCCCCCAAAAGGGCCTGTCTCTGCCAGTTAGATCAGCAAAGAAACACAGCGGTTTTCTAGCTGTCGCTCAGAGCGGACGGCCGATACGATGTCGGTCACGTCGGCCGTGTACTGTCAATATCTGCACAGCCTGTCTGTCCTTGGTGTCGTGCCCCACACTTGGTGCTCCCCTGGCGCCAACTCGCGCGAAACGACTGGACACGGCGTGTGCAGTTGGACGCTTTGCATGGTTGACAGTTTCACCTATTGGCATTGGAGCCGTACCAAATGACGAGGTATATCATGTAAACAGGTTTGCTATGCTTCGGGCATGTTGGAAATGGATGTGCCTGGTGCCTCCTGAAAGTCACAAAAGTCTGGATTGCGCAGTTTGCAAGTATTGCTTTCCCAATATAGTTTTACTCTGCCCAGGACCCAGTTACAAATGCTTCTCTGTGGTCATGGCACAATTTTCGTTCCAGTCACCGGCTCAAATCTCTCGTGCACCGATCACCTCTACGTTTGTTGAGGCCATGACCGCAGGATGCAGGTGTCGCCAATCCGGGATCCTGCAATGCCTTGCCTGAGTACGCCATATGCGAACAGTTTCTTGACCCAAAATAGGATGACTCAGGCAAGTTTGCCATCTTTCCAGCCTACCCATGCCTAAGAGGGCCAAAACTACTCTGTGCAATCCAGGATGACAACACTCGTGTGCTTGGCTACTATAATGTGTGCCACTGTCCTCTCAGACGGTGGTATAGTTTTGGAGAGGATCATCCAATGTGGAGAGACGACTTCACTGCCGAACATTCCGGGAGGTCAATGTGATGTCGTCCTGCCTCACATTTTTGTTGTTCCATACACTTGCACAGGACGGGCTTGAAATATTCAGGGCTAGCCACAAGAACAGTTGCGCCTTTTAAGGTGGCTGTTGTTGCCTACAACTGAAGAGTCTTCAAAGTCCCCGTCTTAACCAACATGTTTGTTGTTTGTGGTGTTCTTTTCTGAGCTTTCAAGAAGTGATCCACCTATCTCAGGTCAGACTCTTGACAGTCTTTATAGCCTTACCAGCTGGAACACTGCCAAATCGAACACTTGAGGTTCAGATAGACCGCCCACGGCATCACCTCAGAATAATGAGCCAACATGAAGAAGAACAATATCTCAGTATCACACCACGGATCATGCCTGCCTTTCAACCTAGGAGCCGTCCCGTACACCGGTACAAAATAGGATACCCTTTTCTAAACAGCAATCTTCTTCGAGGTACAACCTATGGAACGACCCAAACCAAAAACAACAGAGTCTAAAGAGTTTTAAGTTGGCGTTCAAACAATTGGATTTCGGTGTCTTATACCAAACCCCCAATCGGCCCAGAATCCCCTTCCAACATCCGCATCTGAGACAGGCGACAACCTGGGATTCAAGAGTTGCCGCCGGAGCATGACTGTCTTGCTCCTCACAGCCACACCAGATTTTAATGAGCACTAAAGAGGCACATGACATGGGAGCCTGGTGTCACTGAATCACTCTCAGTCGGCAATGAGGTCCGAGAAGTGCCCCTTCGAACCCACAGGAAATCCCACAAAATGGGCACACCCTCCAAGTAGAAGAGTTATATATAGTATGTCATAATTATGTTGGGCAGCTCTGTGTTGAAAGAAGCTCGATCGAGGACAGTATTGCATGCGAGGGGACAAAAGGGTAAAGAGAGCCCCAAACACTTAGATTCAATATGGCCAGTCAGCCAGAATCCCGGTATCACTCTGACATTGTTCAGTGAACTCAGTTCCCACGTTGAGAAGGAAGGTGAAGGAACGGAAAGGTGCATGAGTCGGCAGAAAGGTATTGTTTAAACACAAGTTTCACGACAAGCGCCAGTGGAAGCGGCGTTCAGCAGCTGCAGTGCGGTGGGAAACCTGTTTATGGGGAAGGATCACATGAAACACCATGAATCAAACCAAAAGAGTGGACAGCGTGTGCAAAAGTTCATTTAGCAGGTACACAATGCGGCGTCCCGCATTGCTTCACCACGAGCTGACAGCGTCTTCGTTGGGCAATGTCTGTCAGTCGTGCATTGCCCCCCTGCCTCGTGGAGTGGTTGTAATAGAAAACCGTGGCATTGAACCCTTTGGTACAGGGGGTGACACACACAGATCGCCGCGATCGGCGCTTTTCTTTTCAAAAACCGGCTGCAAGCTGTTGAGTCGTGTCCTTTTTGGACGTAGAGTTTCACAAGCTCAGTGGCAGCAGCATCGGCGCTCGAAGGTGGAAAGGTGTATTTGTGGATTGTGTGAAGTCTTGAGTGGAGCCCAGACAGAGCCAAGCGCTGGCTCCCGGCGCTAGTTGCGTCCCTGATTTTCCAGGGTTGTAGAGGTTGAATGTAGGTGATGGTACGTTGTTGTAGGTCAATGTTGAAACCCAGAAGGTGAAAGTCGTCCACTGGTTCAAGTTCCACTGGGTCACCAAAGAAGTTGTGATGGATAAGGGTTTGAATGGCTGGGTGTTGGAGGAAATGTTCGTTGTGGACGATGAATCGGTTGTCAACATATATATCGGTAGTATGCAAAGTGTATGTCGCTGTGCTGGAGGAGGTTGTTGTGGATCTGGTGCCACGAGTGTTCGATGAGAGTGATGGCTACGTTGCAAAGGGCAGGAGAGAGTTGGGATCCAATCCCAGCCCCTCGGATTTGCTTGTAAGTGTTGTTGCATGCCCGGAAAATGCAAGTGTCGAGCGCATAGGCGACGATGGTGGTGATGTCGGGGGTCTGGATGGTGCGCTGTGTGGGGTGTTTTTGGTGATGCCGGCCGATGTGGGAATGGTGGAATGGGTGGTCGGTTGATTGGACATCTATGTTGAGGGTGTGTGTGGATTGTTGTCCTTGCCGGTGCTGAATCATGGAGTGGACCGCGTCGATGAGGCGGTGCTGGGGGACCGAGTTGAAGAAGCCGACCAGATCATCGTTGGTGGCATATAGGGAGATGTCTGCTGGGGTTTGGGTGAGGTGGCAGTGGAAATGGCGCCAGAGTTGCGGGATGGAAAGTTGGCCTGGATGTTGTGGATAGAGGTGTTGGAGAATGATGTCCAAGGCACGGCTAGTGATGCGTAGGAGGTTGCCGCTGAGTGAGTGGAAATAGGAGATGATGGTGGGGCCTTTCTGCCAGCGCTTCTTCTCTTTGAGATGGACCACTCCATATGGAATGTTGAAGTCCTTGCGGAAGCCCCATTTGTATCGGGCGCGTAGGGTGGAGGGTACAGTGGCTTTGAGGTGGTCGTGGATGTTGGCGGCTGTAAGGCATATGCCGTGAGGTCATGTGTGCAGTATGCAGCAGGGACTGTTTGTAGGCTGGATTTTTGAATTCAAAAAGAAACCGAAAAAGAACCCGACATGAGATTGATACAAAAGGCATGGAGTGGTGACATGCTAGGTAGTCAAAGAACTTGTGTCGAGAGGCGTGCTGCTGAATTTGTCCGATGGCACGCCGTGGGAAAATTGGGTGAAACTGATCAAATAAAGTAACTGCCAATAGGCGGTTCCGAAGGGGATTCCGGATGCCTCGTCTCACTGGGCGCTCGCACAGCAGCCGTCTGCGGTGGTAGAGCTTCATGTGTGGATGGAGGGGTTGTTGCTGGTGAGGCTGAGTAGTCAGGTTGCGATCGCTGTGGTGATGTGTTCGCAGGTGATGTGGGAGTGGGTGAGATGTGGTGCGAGGTGGAAGGTAAAGGCTGTGGTGATGTTGTGGGTAGTGGAGTAGGCTCAGGTGGTTGAGCGTCTTGCAGTCTTTGTAGGTCTTGAGGCTCTTTCCATCGAGCCTTGCATTGCTCGATGGAGAATCCGACTCGTCGAGCAACAAAAGTCCAGTTGGGTCGGAGCTTGGGGTTGGTTTTGAGGTCCACGAGGCGGCTGCACGTCGATCGAGTGGAGGTGGTGGTGGCTCTTTGCGCTTGCGGGCGGGTGTGTGCTTGGGTGAAGGAGTGGGAGAAGGTGTGTCGGAGTTGACTGATGGCGGAGGTGGGTTGCGAACTCGTGGAATAGGTGGTGGTGAGTCGCAGGAGGAAGTGGGTGAACGGCAGGTTGATGGGGCGCGTTGGTGGCGCTGGCAAGGGTCTGTGGAAGGTAGGATCCGCCTGTCCAATGTGGTGTAGAAAACGTGTGTGAAGATCTGCCATAATGTCTGTGGCTTGCCGGAGGAGGTGTTGGATCTGAGAAGGGGCCACTGTCGTTTGATGTAGTAGTGCGGTAGTATCTTCAAGAGGATGTGAGCTTGTGGTGGTCATATGTTGAAAGTGTGATTGTGATGCCGATGAGGAGTTCACTGGGTACGGGTCGTAGTTTGTAGCAGCAGCGCAGCGGCGCGGCGGCGCGGCAGCTGGGCAGCGGTGGCGCAGCATCACGAGAACGTGCATATGAATTAAGCACAAAGACCGGGCCGAAAATCATGCCGACATGAATTCACGATCAGCATCAAAACAGTGGAGAGTGAGTTGAACTCAAGAAAGTCAAAGTTTCATTTAGAACCAACAAAGCTTGAAAGGTCGAATGACATGTAAAAGCTGAAACCCGAAGCATCTGCACGAGTGTCAGCGTTGCTTTTGCTGCTGGCGAGGCGGAGGGTGTGTGGCTGGGCGAAACCGAAGGTTGTAGGCGGTTGTCGGGTGGGTGTTGAGTGTTGGGTTGTCACAGGTCTGGTGGGGTTGCGTTGACCGACCATGCTAGTCCTTTGACAATAGCATGGTCAGGGTGGATGACCCAACTTCTGCCCTTCTGGTGGAAGACAGCGCCGTGGTTGTCGTGTAAAAGGGTCATGGCGTGTTCTTCGCCGCCCGAAGTGAATTTTGTGGCGGCGCCCCAGGCCAGGAGTGTGATAACGAGGGAGTGGGTGTTTTTGTGGAGTTGCCATGTATTGTGGATAATGCGAGCAAATTCGCCGTGGTCGTGTTGTGGGTTGTGAGTAATGCGGACCCCCTGGGCAAAAAAGCCAGGGTAGTTTGGGAAGTGAAGTGTGCTGGGAGGAAACGGCCTTGTCGTAGGATGTTGGTGATGTTGCCGACAGGGCCGGTGTGGCAGGCGTTGATGTGCGCTTGTCTGTGGAAGTGGCGCGGGAAACTGGTGGCGGTGAGGGTTGGGTGGCTTTGGTGTTGAGGTATGGGAGTGAAATGGCATTGTACTGGAATTGATCATATTGCTGGGTAGTGTCATTCCACTTGGCGTAGGTGTATTGCCTGAAGTCGGCGATGTCTTTGTATGTGATGTTGCTGTCGAGGAGAAGGTTGGCAATGTAGTGGTGTTGAGGTCGATTGGGGGTATCCAGCTGGTCGGCATGGAAGTCGAGCCGAGTGATAAGTTGCTGTTGAGGAGGTAATTGTTGAAAGTGTGAGGTGGGTCGCCAAAAGTTGGGCGGTCGACGATGTACAGGTGTGAGTGGGTACTCCGTGGTGGAGGTGTTGGGATTGTCGGCGGTGGAGGTATCCGTGTTGGGTCGTAGGTCAAGAGGTTGTCTGGAGCGACTGCGTGAGGGTGTGGAAGAGCATGAGTAGGTGGATGTGGAGGGCGAGCGGTGTCGCCTGGAAGAACTTTTGTGTTTGGTGGTCCTGGAGTGCTGTCGGTGTGTGCGTCGACGGCGACGCCGGTGGCGACCGTGTCTGTGATGATCGGTCCTGCGGCGGCCCTGGTGGTGGTGGCGCCGAGTAGGGTGTGGTTGATGAGATGATGGCTGTGCTGGTGAAGCTGTATGAGTTGCTACCCCGGCGGCGGGGTCCGGGTTCACCATGGTCGGTGGTGCCGGTGTAGTGGCTGGTGATGGAGAGGGTTGTGAGACAGTAGCTGCAGTCGTGAGGTTGGGAGTAGGGTTTGTGGGATCCTGCGGTGTAGGATCTTGGGGTGGTGGTTGTTCTTGTGGTGAGTCGCTGATTGCCTGTTGGGGCTGTGATGAAGGGTGTGGTGACAGCGGTGTCACTGGTGGGAAGACTGAATAAGGTTGCCATACCCCTTGCGGTGTGTGCCATTGGGGTTCTGCTGATGTGGGCTGGAGTGACCTGCTGAGGTGTGGGAGGTGGCTGCATTACGATAGCTGTGGTGGGGTGGGCAGATGGTGAATGTTGTTGAACGATGTAGGATGCTGGAAACGCTTGTGGATGATGTGTGGCCTGTGGCGGTATCTGATGTGGGTGAGGGGAATGTACGAGGGTCCACATAGAGTGAGGTCCATAGGGTAATACAGTTGGTTGCGCTGCAAATGCTGGCTGTTGTGGAGCTGGAAGTGTTGGATGCGGTGGAACTGGAAATGGTTGATGTTGTGGAACTTGGAATGTTGGTTGTGTGTGCGGATGTGGTGGATGGGGTGCCGGTTGTGTTGGCGGAGTGGGTAATGGCAGTGGTGCTGTGTGGGAGTAAGGCCAAGGATACTGCATGGTGTGGGAAATGGAAGACTGTCCAGAACTCGTAGTATCTGCTTCA